TTGAACAAAGTAGTATTTCGTTTCTGGGTCTAACCATCTCTCCCACGGGAATAGCCATGGATCCCCAAAAGGTTTCGGCCATTTTAGATTGGCCAGCGCCCACCGACAAGAAAGCGGTCCAACGTTTCATCGGCTTTGCTAACTTTTACAGAAAGTTCATTAAGAACTTTTCAGGCCTAGTGTCCCCGATCACCCAGCTGACCAGGCAGGGGGTTCGCTTCCAATGGACACCTGAGGCACAGAGGGCTTTCGAAGCCTTAAAGGAGTTGTTTACGGCAGCTCCTATTTTGAGCCACCCTGATTCGTCCTTGCCATATGTCTTGGAGGTGGACGCATCCGAGAATGCGGTCGGGGGGCGATCCTGTCCCAGAGGAAGGGCATCAAAGAGCTCATGCACCCGGTGGCTTTCTTCTCCAGGAAACTAACTCCTGCGGAAAGGAATTATGATATCGGGGATCGGGAGCTCTTGGCAATCAAGGTGGCACTAGAGGAATGGAGATACTTGTTAGAGGGAGCGGTACACCCAATATTGATTTTTACGGATCATAAAAACTTAGAATATCTGAGGACAGCTAAACGTTTGAGGCCACGTCAAGCCAGGTGGGCGCTGTTCTTTTCACGGTTCTTTTTCCACATAACCTATCGGCCAGGGTCTAAGAACACAAAACCAGACGCACTCTCCCGCATGTTTGGGGATCCCGAGGAGAATCCCAGGCCAGACACTATCCTGACCCCAGGGAATTTCCTAGCCCTCCAATCGGAGCTCCATTCGCAACTGCAGACCGCGTCCGTAGGGATGCAAGGCCCACCCGGTGTCCCCTTATTAAATAGGGAAGGACTTTTCTGGAAGGAGGATCTGATTGTGGTCCCTGAGGAGGCCCGTACCTTGGTATTAGGATACTGCCACGATCACCCGCTGGCCGGGCACTTTGGGGTACGTAAGACCTTGGAACTGCTGCAGCGTACTTTTTGGTGGCCTAATATGGCCAGAGAGTGCGAAACCTACATAAAGACTTGTCCCGTTTGTCAGAGAAACAAACCCACCAGGAACAAAGCTTGGGGTCTCTTGCGCCCATTACCCATACCCGACAGGCCATGGACCATGATTTCCATTGATTTTATCGTGGAACTTCCACCCTCTCAGGACCACACAGCAATCTTCGTGATTGTGGACCGCCTGTCCAAGATGGCCCATTTTGTACCCTTAAAGGACACACCTACGGCCCTTGAAACAGCACGTGTGTTTATTAAGGAAGTAGTAAGACTCCACGGAATTCCCAGGGACATTGTATCTGACAGAGGGGTTCAGTTTACGTCCAGGTTCTGGAAAGCTCTATGTGAAACCCTGGGGATTAAGTTATCGTTCTCTTCTGCTTATCACCCACAGACCAATGGCCAGACGGAGCGTACAAACCAGACCCTAGAGCAGTACCTCAGGTGCTATACCACCTTCCTCCAAGATGACTGGGTTACTCTCCTGCCGCTTGCGGAATTCGCATATAATAATGCGAGTCACTCTGCTACTAGACAGTCCCCGTTTTTCGCAAACTATGGGTTCCACCCTGTATTCCTGCCAGATCTAATCCCAGAGGTCGCAGTCCCAGCCACGCAGGATATGTTGACCTTTCTGTCAACCAATAGCAAGGTATTGCAGGAAGCAATGGCAAAGGCCCAGGATGACAACAAGAGGGCGTTTGATAGGAAGAGAAGAGGGGAATTGAGTTTGCGGCCAGAGGACCAGGTTTGGTTGTCCACCGCAAATTTAAAAATGTCCTGCCCTTCAAAGAAATTGGCTCCCAAGTTCTTGGGGCCTTTCCGGGTCAAACGTAAGGTCAACGAGGTGGCATACGAGCTGGCACTGCCCGAATCTATGAAGGTTCATCCGGTCTTCCATGTGTCCCTGTTGAAACCGGCAACTCCAGACCCCTTCCCGGATCGAAGGTCTAAGCCACCGGAGGCAGTAGACGTGGATGGGGAGGAGGAATTTGAAGTTGAAGCTATCTTAGATTGCAGGAAGAGGGGAGGCAAACTCAGTTTCTGGTTAAATGGAAAGGATATGGGGCGGAGGAGAATTCATGGGAGCCGGCCCAAAATGTGCACGCCCCAAGGCTTGTGCGGGAATTTTTTCGGAACCAGCCGTTGAGTAGGGGTCGGTTGGGCATCCGGAGGTTGCCCGTAGGGGGGGGGGGCAATGTCAGGGATCCCGGGTCCTCGGCGGCGCGCGCATGCGCAGACCGCCGATCCGTCCCAGCCGGCGAGCGCAGAATCCTCGGCGATCGCGGCGGCCGCGCATGCGCAGTAGCGATCGCGGCCGCACCAATGGGAGAGCAGGGCGCCCTATTTAAAGCTGCCTGTGCATCTCCAAGTTGCCGCAAGGTCTTGTTCCAGTCCTGTAAGTACGCTTCCTAGTTGCCAAACTCTGCCTGTTCTGACTTATGCTTACCTTCTCCTGCTCTGACCCCGGCTCGTCCCTGACCATCCTTCTGCCTGACCCTCGGTACCTCGTTGCCCGCTACCTGTTGAACCTGGCTTGTGACCCCGACTATTCTCCGCTTACTCCCCCTGTACCACGCTGCCCGCACAATTCCGACCCGGCTAGTCTGACCTCGTCCACTCCTGACAGTTGCCCATCCATCCCGCTCGGATCGGGATCGGGATCTGTCATCCCATCCATCCCGCTCAGATCAGGATCTGTCATCCCCTTCACAGCAGGCTCAACCCGGGCACATACCCCCAGCGGGACCCCTCTGCCACCGCCGGGGGTGCCCAGGAACGCGACCTGGTTTCAGTCTTGCACCAAGTCCATCCCCACCATCAGGGGCCCTGGTGAAAAGGCAGACTGGGACGTGCCGTGGACCACTAGAGATCCCGTTGGGTGGAGCCTGACATGCTAATATTGCATCATCTCAGTATACATGCAATTTTCTATTGGTCACCAGTATCAATTGCGCAATATGCTGGCTGAAGTTGCATCATAATTTTGAATGGCTTACGTCATTAGATGGGTGAATATATCATGGAAACTAGAGCCAATCAACATTTTTTTAGGGTCATTTTCGTTTTCAGCACCCCAAAATTATGTAAGATTAGCTAATTTTATGCCCAAAACTTTTTACCTGTTGAACAGTGTTATTGGATGGACTCCACAACTTAAAGTGACATTTCACATTGGGGAGCTGATAAAATCCTACAAACGCAAGCCAGACTGGCGTTTTGCTCAGAAAGAATACTCAGGCACGTGCTACAGGACCAGTTATGGGAGGGGGAATACTGTAGATTTGTGTAAGATTGTAAGCTGTTGTGCTGCACCGCAGGCTAGCCCATACCATACACCCATACACTGATTCCTCCTCTTTTAGGGTAATAACGGGTAAGGTGTGGCAGCTTAGTTGTGCCCGCCAGTAGGTAAATTACTACACTTTCTACCTTCATCACTCAGGAGGCACAAGGGTCTCAGCCTAAGATGCAGGAGAAATAGTGCCTTTATTGTCCATCAGAATCACACAGATTTACCATTAAGGTCAAAAGATAAATTGATAAAAAAAATGCTCAGGGTTAAGGCTGGATTCACACCTATGAGTTTTTCATTGAAACACTCTTGCTGTTAGGAAGCTTTTCAACTTCGTCTGTCAGCTGAGGGTCACTGAGTGTTCTCAAACTCTTAGCTACTCCTAACCACTGCAGAGTAACAATTCTGGCCATATGCCCCCTATCTGGATTGGTTATGAGTCTCTGTGCTTGATATAGTGTTAGCTTCCTAGCTCCCTGTTCATTTCCCTTCCTAACCCTTGATGCCGACCTTTACCCTGTACAGTCCATATATTCCATTGGTACCAATGTTTTATATTGCAATTTTGATGCATAGTCCTAAGTGTTCAGATTATTTGTGTACATCCCCTACATGGTGGTGTTTCCAATGTGCCTGTGCTGTGTATACATAAGACCTTGTGTCGTTGTCTTTACAGCACAATCATATACATGGCCGGTCATGATGTCTTTCTTTTATAATTTTTTGTTTTAGGTTTATTCTTTTGGTATTGTCTCATCTTGTGGTGATGGCTAACTGTGGTATTTACCTAAATGTCTAATATGTGCAAAATTTGCAATAAAGCATAATTTTTTTTTATACATTTTTGGGTATCGCTTTCTGTCCATAATGTAACCGCTTTTTCTTGTGAATTCCTTTTCACGTCCCCCTTTTTTGTTGTCTGTTTTTGGTTACTTGGCAGATAAAATACGTTCAGCGATAGTGATAAATATATATGGCCTCTTGCTCCTCTGTTATTATAGTGGATGCAGCCAATGCCTTATCTGCACACAGTTCCTTCCCATGCAGTGAGCCAGCACTGCTCTCTTTTCCATCCCTCCTCCCGGCAACTGAGTGACGTCATGCCGGGCCAGGACTAGAGAGCATCTTTCGGGCAGAGATTCCTCCACCTGACAAGGAGGAGAAAGTGTACCTTCTAGCATGCGCGTGCACACAGCTCTGACTGCAAGTGTATACTGTAGTAGCAATGTGGCGGTAATCATACAGGTCCAGGCTGAACAGCACAGCAGAAGGCAGCACTGTGAGACAGAATCACTTGCACATCTCCCCCACCAGAAAAAATTATTGTGCCCAGGGCTTCTATCCTTTCTGCCCCCCCCCCCCCCCCCCTTGTTCGGACCCTGTTGCTGCAGGAGGGAATCCCACATCAACATTGACTATGTTGATGTGGAAAACAAGCGATTTTCCATGGGCTGAAGGAACGAAAATTGTATAATCTATGGCTTGCTTTAGATCCAATGCTTGCAAGCCAAACATCCCTACATTTACTACATAATCTGTTTACCATTTGTGTAAATAGTAGCATTTATATCATCTTAGTGATTACATCTAATTCAATATTTTTTATGAATCCTAAAAGCCTTACTTTTAATTGCTGGTAGGTTAATTGGCTCCTGTCTATACTGGTCTTAGAATGTGTATACCTATGCATGTGAGGTATAGGGTCTGGGACAGGGGCGGACTGACCATTTGGAAACTTGGGCACTGCCTGAGGGCCCGGGATCAGTAGGGGGCCCCATGAGATGCCCCTGGTACCTTTTTCATAGGCTTTTTTGAGTTTGGGCAAGTACACAGGGGCCCCATGATCCCCTATTGCCCAGGGGCCCCATGAGTTGTCAGTGCGCCCCTGGTCTGAGATTAAAAATACTGTTTCAGACTTTGCAGATGACACCAAAGCTGTGCAGTGGAATAACGTCCTTACAGGATGTCTACTGGGCACTTACAGTATACCCCCTTCCTACCCAGCCCAATTTTCAGCTTTCGGTGCTGTCACACTTTGACAATTGCGCAGTCATGCAACATTGTACCCATGATTTTTATCATTTTTTTCACACAAATAGAGCTTTCTTTTGGTGGTATTCAATCGCCACTGGATGTTTTTTTTTTTTTGCATTATAAAAAAGAGCAAAAAATGTTTCTGTTAAAAAATTTTACAAACAGGTAATTTTTTTCCTTCACTGATGTGCGTTGATGAGGCAGCACTGATAGGCACTGATAGGCAGCACTAATGGGCACTGATGAGGTGGCACAGATAGGCACCACTGATGGGCACTGATGAGGTAACATGGATAGGCAGCACTGATGGACACTGATAGGCAGCACTGATAAGGCAGCACTGATGATGATGCTGCACTGATATGCAACAATGATGGGCACAGATAGGCTGGCACTGATGGGCACTGACAGGTGGCAATGATGGGCAGCACTGATAGGCGGCACTGCCCGGTGACACTGATGGGCAGCACTGAAGGGGGGCACTGGTGGGCACAGGTGTGTGGCACTGCTGGGCACTGATGGGAACAGGTGAGTGGCACTGCTGGGCACTGATGGGTGGCACTGCTGGGCACTGATCATCAGTGCTGATCTGATCAGTGCTGATCTGTTCTCCTGACAATTGCTGGTTATCGGCAGTACTTTCCTCACTCTGTGAGGAAAGTGTAGAAGATAACCGGTAACTGTATTTACCCGGTGATCTGATGTGTCATTGGACACAGCTGATCACATGGTAAAAGGCAGCTGTGATTGGCCTTTTACCACATCACATGATCAGCTGTTGTCATAGGACACAGCGATCAAGGAAATCGCTGGGTGCGCGCCACTGGGAGGATGTCATATGACGCCCTCCTAGAATTGGACAACCGCACTGTAGCTGTTATTCGGCTACAGCGCTGTTACCAAGTGGTTAATTAGGCAACTGTGTGGCAAATGAGGTTTAATGTTGATAAATGTAAAGTTTTGCACTTGGGGGCTAAGAATATGCATGCATAATACATACTAGGGGGGTACAACTGGGAGAATCAATGATGGAGAAGGATCTGGGAGTTCTGGTAAATCACAAGCTTAATAATGGCATGCAATGCCAAGCTGCGGTTTCTAAAGCGAGCAAAATACTCTCTTGTATTAAAAAAGGTGTAGACTCCAGAGAGAGAGATATCATATTACCCCTGTACAAATCATTAGTATTACCTCATCTGGAATATGCAGTTCAATTTTGGGCACCAATTCACTAAAAGAACTTTGGGGAACTGGAGAAAGTACAGAGAAGGGCAACCAAACTGATAAGAGGCATGGGGGAGCTCAGCTATGAGGAAAGCTTAGAGGAACTGAATTTATTCTCTCTTGAGAAGAGATTAAGTGGGGATATGATAAACATGTATAAATACATCAGTGGTTCATATAGTGAACTCGATTATTCACCCTGAGGACATCGCAGAGGACAAGGGGGCACTCTTTACATCTGGAGGAAAGAGATTTAATCTTCAAATATGGAAAGGTTTCTTCACAGTAAGAAAGTTACATTGACAGCATCAGATGTCTTGAGCAGAGTTTTTAATTTCCTTTATAATTTCTTATGCTATTTCATCAATATCCGAGTTTTATTAGTATAACTTTTTATTTTGGATCTTGTATTAATGATTCTCCTTCCTGATCCGATAATTTCTTACATATTCATTATATATCATTATCTTTTTGCTAATACTAGTTCTCTTTTCATGTCTGCTGTCTGTTATTGTTTGGGTAAAACCTATGGTATAATGGCGCCTGAGCGGGCGCGTGTACGTGCTGTGCTCTGGCAAAATGGCGGATTGGGTGTACGCGTGCGCCACCACGCCTACTCAGCGGTTGCGTGTGCGCACACGCCGCCCAGACTATAAATGGAATGCAATGACGTCTCCTGCTCTATGTGCATACCCCTCATGAATATGTGCTCGTGCACGAAACGCGTAGAGGAGGAGCCATACGCGGTGACGTCATGCCCCCGCCAAGACCACGAGGAGGTCCGGCGGCCATCTTTATTGCTGTATATGGTCAGTGACAGTTCTTATGCTGTTTATATTGATTTGCTTCACTTACAATAAACGTTTTTGGCTGAAAAGTAGTACTACACTATGGGCATTCTTTTTTCTGGCTCTTTATGAGCCAATAACACCATAGAGCCCATACCTGGAGGACGACAGCTGTGTAGCAGAGTACCAGGAGGAAGGAGATCTCTTGGACCTGACCAGGCTGACTACCTTTTAAGGGGGACCTCCGGCCATATTTCATATACCATGCGTATTATGATCTGTCTTCTGGTGAGTGTGCATTTTTAACATCCCTTTGACACATCACCTGATTGATCGTCTGGAAACGCATGGATCACCCACTAAAGAATATCTCTGATCACATCAGTCATGTTCATCTATTTTGGACTGTTATTCACAGTGCAGGGAGGAAAAAAGTATGTGAACCTTTGGACTTAATAACTGGTTGACCCTCCTTTGGCAGCAATAACCTCAACCAAACGTTTCCTGTAGTTGCAGATCAGACCTGCACAACGATCTGGAGACATTTTGGACCACTCCTCTTCACAAAACTGTTTCAATGTAGCAATATTCTTGGGATGTCTGGTGTGAATCGCTCTCTTAAGGTCATGCCACAGCATTTCAATTGGGTTGAGGTCAGGACTCTGACTGGGCCACTCCAGAAGGCGTATTCTGTGCTGTTGCAGCCATTGTTTTGTTGAATGACTTGTATGCTTTGGGTCATTGTCCTGTTGCATCACCCATCCTCTGCAGAGCTTCAGTTGGCGGACAGATGGTCGTACGTTTTTTCCTGCAAAAATGTCTTGATAAACTCTGGAATTCATTTTCCCATCAATGACAACAATCCGTCCAGGCCCTGAGGCAGCAGAGCAGCCCCAAACCATGATGCTCCCTCCGCCATGTTTCACAGTGGGGATGAGGTTTGATGTTGGTGTGCTTCGCCTTTTTTTTCTCCACACATAGTGTTGTGTGTTCTTCCCAAACAACTCAATCTTGTTTTCATCTGTCCACAGTATATTTTGCCAGTAGTCCTGTGGAACATCCAGGTGCTCTTTTACAAACTTCAAACGTGCTGCAATATTCTTTTTGGACAGCAATGGCTTCCTCCGTGGTGTCCTCCCATGTACTCCATTCTTGTTTAATGTTTTCCTTATTGTAGATGTGTCAACAAAAATGTTAGCATGTGCCAGAGATTTCTGTAGGTCTTTAGCTGACACTCTGGGATTCTTCTTTACCTCATGCAGCATTCTGCGCTGTGCTCTTGCAGTCATTTTTACAGGACGACCACGCCTAGGGAGAGTAGCAACAGTGCTAAACTTTCTCCATTTGTAGGCAGTCTGTCTTACCGTGGACACATGAACATCAAGGCTCAAGGAGATACTTTTGTAACCCTTTCCAGCTTCATGCAAGTCAACAATTCTTGATCGTAGGTCTTCTGAGAGCTCTTTTCTGCGAGGCATGGTTCACATCAGACAGTGCTTCTTGAAACCAGTAAACCAAAAAACAGGTGTGTGTTTTTTAAGGGCAGGACAGCTGTCAGCAACACATCCAATATCATCACACTGATTGGAGTCAAGGTTGGCTCACTCCTGGCTCCAATTAGCTCTGGGAGAAGTCATTAAGCTAGGGCCTCACATACTTTTTCCTCCCTGCACTGTGAATGTTTACATGTTATGTGCAATTAAACCATGGCAACATCTAATGTTTGTGTAGTATTATGTTCAGCAGACTGTGTTCTTCTATTGTTGTGACTTAGATGACGTTCAGAGCACATTTTATGCCCAATTCATGCAAAACTCCACGTAATCCCAAGGGGTTCACATACTTTTTCTTGCAACTGTACCCTCTACTTAGAGAAGCTTTGTGTGATATATTTATCAATTTTTATGTCACATGCATGGCACTTTAACGTATGTGTGTATTGCATTTTGTCGCTTTATTTTGTCACTTTTATCAGTTATCATAAGTTTACATATACATATATTTAGCGGTGCACCTTTTGTGTTGGATTTTATTGTATGAGGTTTTCTGGTTGCCTTTGGTGTATCAGCTGCTAGTTGGTCTTGGCGCTCGCTTCCTCCTCCTATTTTATTAGACATTTCTTCACAGTAAGAGCTGTGAAAATGTGGAATGGACTCCCTCAAGAGTTGGTTCTGGCCAACTCAGTGGATTGCTTTAAAAAAAAGTCTGGATTATTTCTTAGATACACAAAATATAACTGGATACTAGATAAGAACAAGAAAGGCAAAGTGAGCGCTACAATGAAGCTGCGGAGACACCAAAAGGTACCAAAAACCTCCCAAGTCAATACTAATAATAAATGTGAGCACCGCTAAAAATCAAAAAGTAAAGTGCTAATGTAAATGGCAAATACTGTATCATTCAAAATCAAATCAATATACAGTATAAATAATAAAGTGCCAATAGTGCTATTGCCTCTCGAGCGATCAGGAAGGAATTTTTTTCCCTTGCAGGAACAAATTGGATCATGCTTTGCTGGGGGGTTTTTTTTGCCTTCCTCTGGATCAACTGTTGGTATAGGATTATAGCTTTTTTTTTTTGGTTGAACTGGAAGGACTTTTGTCTTTTTTCAGCCATAGTTACTATGTACAGTAACTACGAGATAGGGGCCTTAGATTTTAAGCTCCTTAACAGCAGGGACTGATGTGAATGTACAGTATATATGTAAAGCAATGCTTATATTATTTGTGCTTTATAAATACCTGTAATAAATAAATAAATATATCTGATGTAAGCTCCTTTAAAACAATGCCTGTTTGACATCTTAGTGAGCTTACATGACTTTCCATCACTAGTGTGACATCCTGGTTTGCAGAGCAAAATTGGAACATGTTCAAACTAAGTCACCTTCAAATCCTGTGTTATCTCACTGAACTGACACAACCTGCTGGAATATTCTGCTGTCTCATATATATTGAATTCATAATATTTTAATCAATGTACTATTTACAAGCATTTGCCAGGGTATATTGAAATATTTTTCATATTACTCTTGTCATAAAATCCACCTCTTTTGGTATCTGAAGAAAATGTAACTGCTGTGTTAAGAATCCATTGTTTTAAAGCTTATCGATCATATATTAACATAATCTGACACAAGTGGGCTTTTCCGGTGAAATAGTGCAAGGATATGGCTCCAGCTAACTGAAATCTGATTAACTGCTATGTGTAATGGTACTTTGTACTTTGCCCTGTTTACTGAATGAGCCAGGATATGTGACCAAATTAAATACAATGGGCAATTGCACGGTACATCATACTGTAAGCAAGCTCATAAGGGTCAAAATGGTGTTGGTTTTCCAAGGAAACTAAAGCTGTATATTTTTCCACAATATTAGAAGATGTGTTTTGTGTATCACATATTTTTTACTATATAATTATAAACACAGTGCAATTTAGTTTGTATTTTTAAAAAGCCAGAGAAAGAATACAGATATATTTTTAAAGTTAGGAGCCAGCGTAGGTAGTCATACACAAGGTGGCTGTAATCCATAACCTGAACTTGCTGCTTGCAGGTAATATGTGGATTTAATAAGTTCTCCCATTCTACCTTTTAAACTCAGTGACAAAATCCTTAGAGAGTGATGTGCTGCAATTGCCTTTCTTTTTATTTCTTTCTCTCAAGTTCCAGCCATAAACTTTATATGTGATCTTTTCAGCAATGTTTGAAATGCCCCCAGTGAATACAAAGAGACATGATTGCATTATCATACAGCCAGCATATGGCACAAACATCAATGCACTCGTTTTGTGTCAAACATTACATTTTTTGTTTGTTTTGTTTATATTTTTAAACCCCAATAGTTGGGGTTTTTTCTGTCTGTGTCCACTTGGGGGGATTCCCCTTCACCTCCTCTCCAAACTGAATTCCCCTTTTAGAAAGTTGTCAGAGAAAGAGAGAGAAAACATTTGTTTCAGCCATAAAGCACAGCATAGCCTTTGAACTATCACCAGCAGATGTAGAAGGGCCAAAGGGGGCTTTTAGTTAATCCAGTCCCCTCATAATGGGGGGCGGAGTAGCTGTATTGTCAGTGAATTTGAAGTTGTTGTAGGGATAGCATAGGGGAAGCTGAAAAACTGCTATAATTACGGCTTTGGCTAAAATATGTTAGCATCTTGTTCTTCACACGGATAGCCAAGTACTTATAAGGATCATAAGCAGACTCCAGCTTTTGCACTGATATAAAGCTGACAACCTGCATAGGGAGCAGTTAGGGGAAAACATACTTTAATTCTGATTGCTAGTTCTCCAAGTTCTTCTCTCAGCTTATTTGCTGTCTTCTTTTTTTTGTTCTTATTAGGGGCTTTTTCTTTTTCATTTTATTTTGTGGTGGATTTGAGGTCAACAATAACTTTTAGCTGCTGTCTCACACAACTTCTTTTTTAATGATCAGCAGAACTGGAAGGGCCAAAAAGGGACTTCCGTTTAGGTCAGTCCCTTCACTATAAAATGAGGGGCACAGAGCCCTCCAGTATACAGTATGGAAAGCTGACAAACTGTTTTTTTTTTTAAAGGCCTTCCTTTAAAAAAAAAAAAAGCTTCATTTGAAAGAAAATAACTGCAAGAACAGTGTGCACCTTAACCATCCCAAATGATATCACTCATAATCACCCCCCTACCCTATCTCCTTAGATAAAACAAATGTTAGGCAAACACCTGGTCTGTTATCCCTGAATAAAATTGTCCTGATTTTGGTCTACAGAGCCCCCCCAACATCAAAACATGCAGAGCCCCCCCACCATCAGAGGCCACAGAGCCTGCCCACCGTCAGAGTCTGCAGATCCCCCCACCATCAGAATCCATAAGGGACTGTAGGGGATATCTCTGTAGTCTCTGGAATGTAAAGGGGAACTCTGATTTAAGGGAAGATCTGACGTAAGGGGAAATGCTGTGGACTCTGCTGTAAAAGGGAACTCTGATGTAAGGAGGTCTCTGCTCACCAACGCCCCCCTTACATCAGAGTCCACAGAACTCTCTTTCACATTATTGTACTGGAAGGCAGGAGAGGGGAGGAAGGAGGAGAATTTACTCACAGGATGCATGGATTGGCTGTCAGCACTTGTACTCTTCCTGCTGCTGGGCTCCTCCTCTTCCCACCCTCTCCTCCTTTGTCTGCCCCACCCACTTTCCACCCACACATCTCCTTTTCCAAGACACTACCAGGGAGAGTGGACGGTAAGTGGGTGGGGCAGACACAGGAGCAAAGGGCGGGAGGAGGAGCCAGCTCTCAGTGCTCTCCCATCTGTGCAGTGGGGGGGGGGAGGAGAGGGAACGGTCAGCGCTGGCACTGGGCTATCTTTGAAAGAGAAACCTAAGAGCTAGGGCTGAGGAGACATAATCCAGGCTCCTGGGCCCTCACATAGTCGCAGAACTCCAGGGCCTGTTCACAAGTGTGACTTTTCCAACCCTGGTAGTTCCTCCACTGACTCCTCCTTCTCACCTGCAGCACTCCAATCCTCCCCCTTGTATTCTTCTTCTGCCTCCTACTGCCTCATGAGATTCCATATGCTGGAGAAGGGCAGGGATTTCCAATGTAAAGTAATGGCAGCTGGCGTATGGCCTTCTGCAAAACATATTGGCAGCTGAGTTCCTGGCACTGTGGTGGGATAGCAGCAAAAAATATGGTATGGTTGGATTAGCTCAAGAGGAGGAAGAGGAAAGTGCTTTGTATTTTATGAGTCGTGATTCATCATGCATGTAAAATTCTTGCAAAGAAGAAAAAAAAAATTTAAGTAAAAAAGTTTTCTTTGGTTTTGGATAGAGATGAGCGAAGTATTCAAAAATTCGATTCGGCTGATTCGGCGAATTCGCGGAATAAATTCGATTCGAGTCGAATATATTCGCTGCGAATTTAACTTATAAAAAGGGTGTTTCTACGCTTCAAAGAGCCTTTATATTAGTGCAGAACACTGTACCTTTAATTTAAATGCCCTTGGAGTCTGCTGGGGAAGAGAAATAATACTGTCAGTCAGTATGACATGCAGATGAGTGCCGTCGATCTTAGAATCACCGCACACTTCACTCATTTGGGCAGTCACGGGGCCAAAACCAGAGTGTGGAGCCACAGTGTGGCGGTGGAGGCAGCAGCAATGGGAGGCCATACAGCACCCTATGAAAAAATGGAACCCACCAGCAGTGTGAGGAGACCTGAAAGTGGCACATGGCAGAGTGTGGCGATGGAGACAACAGCAATGGGAGGCCGTACAGGGACATATGACACACTCTGGACCTGGCAGCAGCATGAGGAGGCGGTACAGGGGCCCATGACAGATTACGGGCCTGGCAGCAGCATGAGGAGTCGGTACGGGGGCCCATGGCAGATTACGGGCCTGGCAGCAGCAATGGGAGGCCGTACAGGGACCCATGACACACTCTGGACCTGGCAGCAGCATGAGGAGGTGGTACAGGGGCCCATGACAGATTACGGGCCTGGCAGCAGCAATGGGAGGCCGTACAGGGACCCATGACACACTCTGGACCTGGCAGCAGCATGAGGAGGCGGTACAGGGGCTCATGACAGATTACGGGCCTGGCAGCAGCATGAGGAGTCGGTACGGGGGCCCATGGCAGATTACGGGCCTGGCAGCAGCAATGGGAGGCCATACAGCACCCTATGACAAAATGGAACCCACCAGCAGTGTGAGGAGACCTGAAAGTGGCACATGGCAGAGTGTGGCGATGGAGACAGCAGCAATGGGAGGCCGTACAGGGACCCATGACACACTCTGGACCTGGCAGCAGCAAGAGGAGGCGGTAAAGGGGCCCATGGCAGAGCGGCGAAGCGTAAGCAGCTTAAATTGAAGGCCATACAGAGGCCTATGTTAAAAATAATAACATGTTTGGGGCATGATTCATGGCGGATTTAGTCAGTTGTGTCAGGAACTGGTGGTTTGAAATCCAGACTAATCCATGCCTGATTCATTTTCACAAACGTGAGTCTCTCCACACTTTGGGTGGACAGTCGTGTCCTCCGCGGAGTTACAATACCTCCTGCCGCACTAAACACGCGCTCCGATGCCACGCTACTGGCCGGGCATGACAGCCTTTCAAGGGCAAATTCAGCTAGTTGGGGCCAAAGGTCAAGTTTCGTTGCCCAGTAGTCAAGGGGATTGTCTACCTCGGTTGGCAGGGTGCTGTCCAAGTAGGCCCAAGCCTGTTGTTTGAGGTCCTGCTCCAGGTCCACCTGATGCTGCTGCTGCTGCGGCTGGTTAGTAGTTTCCTCACTGTGCTGGTGAAGAAAGCTACTCATCATCGACTGCAGACTGAGGCAGCCGCTGCTGGTGGAGCTGCCACTGCTCCTACCACCCCACCCCTCCCCTGCTGCCATGGCAGCGGAACGCGAGCGCACAGGGCCCACAGTGTCTGAGGATGGACGTTGGCGCAGAAAGGCAGAGACCAACTGACTACATAGGTGGTTTTTATAGTACTTTATTTTGGCCTCCCTCTCAGCAGGTGTGAAAAAGGCCACCATTTTTGAACGGTAGCGAGGGTCCAACAAGGTGGACAGCCAAAAGTCATCCCTCTGTCTGATGGTTATTATTCGGCTGTCGCTACGCAAGCAACCGAGCATGCTATGGGCCATTTGTGCCAAGGAATGCGAGGGACTCCCTGCCTCCATCTCCACAGCATATACTGCCACGGTGCGTCTGGGTCCTCTGTCTCCTCCTCCTCCTCTACCAGATGCTCCTGCTCCTCCACTCCTGTCCGCTGAGTGGAAAAACCACCCATTTCACTCAATAATTCCTGAGCACCAATGTCCTCCTCTACCTCCTCTTCTTCTTCCTGTCCTGCCCCCACAGGGGTCATGTGGCGTTGAGATCTGTGCGCCACGTCTACCGCACCCTGACCAGCCATTGTTAACAGCATTTGTTCCAGGACGTGCAACAGAGGAATGACGTCGTTCATCCCATAGTCCTGCCGACTCACGAATAGCGTGGCCTCCTCAAAGGGCCTGAGCAGGTGTCACGCATGAGCTGCCAATGGCTGACATCTAAGTTACACAGGGGAGTACCTTTATCCGCTTGTAACATCAGGAAATCGGTGATGGCCTTTCGCTGTTCGTAAAGGCGGTTAACATATGTAGGGTTGAATTCCACCTTGCAACGTCACAGCATGAGGAGTCGGTACGGGGGCCCATGGCAGATTACGGGCCTGGCAGCAGCAATGGGAGGCCCGTAATCTTCCAGCACCCTATGACAAAATGGAACCCACCAGCAGTGTGAGGAGACCTGAAAGTGCACATGGCAGAGTGTGGGATGGAGACAGCAGCAATGGGAGGCCATACAGGGACCCATGACACACTCTGGACCTGGCAGCAGCATGAGGAGGCGGTACAGGGGCCCATGACAGATTAAGGGCCTGGCAGCAGCATGAGGAGTCGGTACGGGGGCCCATGGCAGATTACGGGCCTGGTAGCAGCAATGGGAGGCCCGTAATAGGCCAGATCCCTATGACAAAATGGAACCTACCAGCAGTGTGAGGAGACCTGAAAGTGGCACATGGCAGAGTGTGGCGATGGAGACAGCAGCAATGGGAGGCCGTACAGAGACCCATGACAGATTACGGGCCTGGCAGCAGCATGAGGAGGCGGTACAGGGGCCCATGACAGATTACGGGCCTGGCAGCAGCAATGGGAGGCCCGTAATCTGCCAGCACCCTATGACAAAATGGAACCCACCAGCAGTGTGAGGAGACCTGAAAGTGGCACATGGCAGAGTGTGGCGATGGAGACAGCAGCAATGGGAGGCCGTACAGGGACCCATGACAGATTACGGGCCTGGCAGCAGCACATGAGGAGGGGTACAGGGGCCCATGACAGATTACGGGCCTGGCAGCAGCAATGGGAGGCCCGTAATCTGCCAGCACCCTATGACAAAATGGAACCCACCAGCAGTGTGAGGAGACCTGAAAGTGGCACATGGCAGAGTGTGGCGATGGAGACAGCAGCAATGGGAGGCCGTACAGGGACCCATGACACACTCTGGACCTGGCAGCAGCATGAGGAGGCGGTACAGGGGCCCATGGCAGATTACGGGCCTGGCAGCAGCAATGGGAGGCCCGTAATCTGCCAGCACCCTATGACAAAATGGAACCCACCAGCAGTGTGAGGAGACCTGAAAGTGGCACATGGCAGAGTGTGGCAATGGAGACAGCAGCAATGGGAGGCCGTACAGGGACCCATGACACACTCTGGACCTGGCAGCAGCATGAGGAGGCGGTACAGGGGCCCATGGCAGATTACGGGCCTGGCAGCAGCAATGGGAGGCCCGTAATCTGCCAGCACCCTATGACAAAATGGAACCCACCAGCAGTGTGAGGAGACCTGAAAGTGGCACATGGCAGAGTGTGGCGATGGAGACAGCAGCAATGGGAGGCCGTACAGGGACCCATGACAGATTACGGGCCTGGCAGTAGTAGCATGAGGAGGCGGTACAGGGGCCCATGACAGATTACGGGCCTGGCAGCAGCAATGGGAGGCCCGTAATCTGCCAGCACCCTATGACAAAATGGAACCCACCAGCAGTGTGAGGAGACCTGAAAGTGGCACATGGCAGAGTGTGGCGATGGAGACAGCAGCAATGGGAGGCCGTACAGGGACCCATGACAGATTACGGGCCTGGCAGCAGCATGAGGAGGCGGTACAGGGGCCATGACAGATTACGGGCCTGGCAGCAGCAATGGGAGGCCCGTAATCTGCCAGCACCCTATGACAAAATGGAACCCACCAGCAGTGTGAGGAGACCTGAAAGTGGCACATGGCAGAGTGTGGCGATGGAGACAGCAGCAATGGGAGGCCGTACAGGGACCCATGACACACTCTGGACCTGGCAGCAGCATGAGGAGGCGGTACAGGGGCCCATGGCAGATTACGGGCCTGGCAGCAGCAATGGGAGGCCCGTAATCTGCCAGCACCCTATGACAAAATGGAACCCACCAGCAGTGTGAGGAGACCTGAAAGTGGCACATGGCAGAGTGTGGCAATGGAGACAGCAGCAATGGGAGGCCGTACAGGGACCCATGACACACTCTGGACCTGGCAGCAGCATGAGGAGGCGGTACAGGGGCCCATGGCAGATTACGGGCCTGGCAGCAGCAATGGGAGGCCCGTAATCTGCCAGCACCCTATGACAAAATGGAACCCACCAGCAGTGTGAGGAGACCTGAAAGTGGCACATGGCAGAGTGTGGCGATGGAGACAGCAGCAATGGGAGGCCGTACAGGGACCCATGACACACTCTGGACCTGGCAGCAGCATGAGGAGGCGGTACAGGGGCCCATGGCAGATTACGGGCCTGGCAGCAGCAATGGGAGGCCCGTAATCTGCCAGCACCCTATGACAAAATGGAACCCACCAGCAGTGTGAGGAGACCTGAAAGTGGCACATGGCAGAGTGTGGCGATGGAGAGAGCAGCAATGGGAGGCCGTACAGGGACCCATGACAGATTACGGGCCTGGCAGCAGCATGAGGAGGCAGTACAGGGGCCCATGACAGATTACGGGCCTGGCAGCAGCAATGGGAGGCCCGTAATCTGCCAGCACCCTATGACAAAATGGAACCCACCAGCAGTGTGAGGAGACCTGAAAGTGGCACATGGCAGAGTGTGGCGATGGAGACATGGGCCCCCTGGCCACGCTTGACTTTCTGGCCACATAGTCGACATACGGCTACGTTTACTTCCTCGGGCGGCTTGACGAAAAATTGCCACCTGCCGAGTAGGAAACTTTGCCCCCGCTACTCCTCACTGGCTGACTGCTACTTCCTCCGTGCACACCGGCACCACTACTGGCCTTGGTGGTAGGCTGCAGTGGAGCTGGTGCTCTACTCCGTGGCCGTTTGCCTCCACTGACACTGCTGCGACCCTGCTGCCTCCTGGGCAACCCACCGACTGTTTTGCTCGCTGCCAAGCTGGCACCCTCTTCTCCTGATGATGCGGAAGCAATAGCCTGATGACGACGAGGCTGCCAAGTGCGATCAGCCTCATCATCATCAATTAGGGTCTCCGCCTCACTACTAGCCCCCTCGGCTGCGTGTGGGTCAGGAGACAGACCTGTCTCTAGACCTGCTACCGAGCCACTCTCCTCGCCAGTACTTCTTCGCCTGGCTGCTGAAGAGGCGGATGTCTCCCCCCGTTCCTGACCGCCCTCTGTTAGCTCTTCCTCACTGTACAGTGGGGCTGAGCCCACAGCATGCGATACTTCGCTTGGTGAGGGAACACCAAAGGACAGGGGCAGGTAGAGGACACGTGATTTCAGTGGGCTTGCTCCCGGGCCATGCCAACTAAAGTTTGTGTCTGATGTACCCACCGACCGTTGGCTGTAGGTGTCAGAGGTGACCTGGGAAGAGGAAGACGACCGAGCCAACCAATCGATGACGGCAGGGTTGTCGGTGGAGACACGACCACTGGATGACACCGGGAGCACTGGCCTCTGGCTGCGACTAGTGCTGCCTCGACCCCTTCCTCTGCTGCCATGGAGAATTGTAAGATGGCCGCAATTTATAGCTCCACCATTACACAGTGCTGGCTGGCTGGCTGCTGATTGGCTAATGTGATCACATGTCATGAATGAATGCATTATGGGTCAGCGCGCCTTGTCTGCGCGCCTTCCCAGAGATCCCCGCTCCGTCGCCACACATGTCGCCGCCATTTTTGGGAAAATTCGATTCGTGCATCCGAAGTTGGCTAATTTTCGGATTCGGCGCGAATCGAATATTTCCCAATATTCGAAACGAATTCCACTTCGCCAAGTTCGATTCGCTCATCTCTAGTTTTGGACAGAGTGAAGATGGATTTGAACACTTATTAGGTTTATAGTGTTGTCTGTGTCGCAGTCAGGGGGATTCACCCCTCTCTATTTATCCTGCTTACAGTTATCATTGAATGTGAGAGTAAAAGAAAATCTCACATTTTGGGTTGTCCAAATAGGGACACTAGTTCTGGTTACCTAGGGAGCCCCAAGGATTTCCTTAATTTGCAAGGATTTCCTCTCACTTCCTGTTTTGGCTATGAGACAGAAAGTGAAAATTAACCTCCCCAATGGGACATAGATGGCAAAAAAAAAACTGACAGGGGTTATACCCCTCTATCCAAAATGAAAAAAAAAAAGTTTTGCCTATAGTTCTACTTTAACCTACAATTAACACCTATTGAAACAAAAGTCCAGCTATAAATCTGCAGGCCTTGCAACAAAAAAAAAAGTTTACCGTGGATAGGACAGCAGCTAAAATTGACCGCTGATCTTAAAGTGTTACTAAACCCAGGAACCTGCATTCACTATATCTGGTCTCCCACAGTACACAGAACATGGAAATTCAATTATTTAGTAAATATAAAACTGTAAATACCTTTTCTCATCAGCAGTTAGAGCAGTCTTGTGACTTCAGCAGAGCACTGGTTAAAGCTTGTAGGCGGAGTTTTCCTTCTGCTCTAGGAGGCTGCATAACCTCTGTCTGGACAGTGCTGATTGGCCCTGTGCTGATCACATGCACTCTCCCAAGAAAAAAAAAACTCTCTAGCAATACACACTAAATTGAGAATGTGCAGAAGGGCTACATGTTCAGTCTGTCTTATCAGCGTGGACATTTGAACAAGAGGAGGGGCAGAGAAGTCAGGATCAAACAGTCTTTTTACACAATGCAGAAGATTAACCCCTTAGGTTTCACGAGTATGACAAGCATGCTTTACTGCATATATACAGACTGAAATAAATAAAAAGGGGTGTGGTTTCCTGGAATCCCCCCATTTATCATAAAATGATGTACTATTTGTTGGTTCCTATAATTAATTAGTAAATATATATATTAACAATATTGATGGACGTAATGCACTGCAATATTAGCTATAATAACAAATACAATGCTCAAAAAAGCAAGGTATTATTTATTTACAAAGGAAGTAAAACACTAACTGAGAAATCTAAAACAATATTACAGAGTATATAGGAATAAAAGTAAAGATGATACGTTACGTAAGTTCATCTTCAAAGCTGAGTATCTTTTAGTTGGGTTCCAGGTAGACAAGGTGGAAAAAGAGGCCGAAAGCATGACCAAAACTGTGTTTAAAAACCCTCTCAAGCACCACCCACACACACAATGACAGAATAGAACTTAAAAAAAAATTTCTCCAAAACGCATGTGAAACATGCGTTGAGGCTAAATAACTAATAAAGTTAGCAGGAAAAAAACGCAGTAAGAAGATATGACCGCTACAGGGTTAAAAAGGGGGGAGGGGGTTAATAGGGACCATTGGTGGTAGGAAAATAAAATAAAAACATACAAAATTATTTAAAAGCAGCCTTTTTATGAAAAGGCATACAAGAAATACCAAGAATTACAGAATTGTCCAA